AAACGGAAAATCTCAGTTTTCAAAAATACCCGTGTACGTGTGGACGTAGCCTCAGTCTCTGACTGGAAGCGCTGATTCGTCATTCGGCTTTTGTCAGACTAAAGTAACTGTTTGAAAAGCTCAGCTATACAACAAGGAGAGATTGACAATTTCCTTTTAGTTCTCAGTTTATTTGATATTGACAAAAGTTGGTCAGTTTTGTCTGTTCTTCTGTAAAACAAACTAAGATTTATTTGTAGAATTAATATTTTGTTTCTAAGTGGAATTGACAGTTTAGTCTGTTTTGTTTGTTCTATTTTGAAACTTAAACGCTTTAGCGGCTGCCTTTTGTGTAGCTTGCAATATTTGCCTTTATTTATCTGAAAAAGTCTCATGTTCCTTAAGTACATCTACCCTGTTGAACTTATTATGGGAAATAGATATTTAAATAAAAACAAGCTGCTGATTATTTCACATTTTACTTGTGAGCAACGGCACATTTAAATCTTACAAATATAGTTATTTGGCTGATATCGTGATAGATATCGTTATCGCCTGAAATGAAAAAAAAAACACATATCGTGATATGAAAAAAATCTCATATCGCCCAGCTCTAGTTTCCAGTAACTTCAAACAAACACGGGTGTCTGGAGGCTCTACAGCCGAGGTGGGGAGCTCCAGGCCTCGAGGCCGGTGTACACCCTGGGTCAGCACACCTGATTAGGTCATTACCAGGCCTGTGGAGAACTACACAACATGCTGAGGAGGTCATTTAGCCGTTTAAATCAGCTGTGTTGGCTCATCATCTAAAACCTCGAGGCGGACACTCGGCTCTAGACTGAAGACAAACAGCAGCAGGCAGTAAAACTGTCTCGACTGTCAGTATCACAGCTTTATTTTATGCGCACTCACTTGTTGATGTTGCTGCCTTCTTTGAGCCGCTCCCCTGCAGCTCCAGTCTTCGCTGCCCGCTCGCTTCCAGCCAGATCCACCAGACTCAGCTTGCTCACCTTCTCCCCGCTCGTCTGCAGCAAACACACGGCGCCGCACAGGAGCTCATCGAGCTAGAATCTCTCATAGCTTTTGAATGAGAACGACTCAACGGAAGCAGCGATTCACAGACAAAAGACGAATAAAACACATCTGGGTATCGCAAATGTTGACGCCAATTATTATTTTATACCTTTTTTATAGATGTAACTGAAAAACTGGACACATGTGTTTTTGTGACAGAATGCTAACAGCAAAGTGCCAACAGACACCGACAGGTTTGAGTGTTTATACTTCATAGTAGGTCAGTGTTGCTTAACAACAATAAATAAAGAAATAAATTCCTCCAGATGTTTGCATCACTCTTCGAGTCCGGTCCTGGTACCTGACCGCTGTCAAAGAAAGTCAAATATGAAAACACGAGGGCTGGCTCAAGACTTTTGCACAGTGCGATGCAGGTCTGGCTGGTCGACTAACATCAATGTGAGGATCAGCTGCTTCTCAGTGTTGCATGTTGGGACTTTGAATAAGACTAAACGAGTCCCCTTGAGTTCGGACACATTTCATTAACACTCGAGCCAATAACTGAAAGATAATCAGCTGCACAGAGAGACGGCGTGCACATGCGAGCGAGTCCTTACCCCAGACCGCAGGTCCATGAGCGTGTGCGTGAGGATGATGTTGAACACGGCGTGCGACCTGCTGCTCTCCTCATTCATGTTTGTGGCCGCCACCGTGCGAGACTTATTTCCCTCTGACATCAGAGACTCGATGTCCTGTTGAACACCAACAAACACACGCGCCGTCTGCAGCCACCGTTATTACTTCCTGGTCCTCGGAAACCCGATGCGATAAAGAAAGAAACAGCTGGTTTACCTCGTAGCTGGTCACAGCCAGACGGGAGAGACCGTCCACGTAAGGCCCCAAAACTTTGTGCTCTCTGACTCTCAGCGCTTGTCGGCTTCTGCAGAAATAAGGAGACGGTCACAGCTTTAAGTCCTTCAGCTGCCTGGACTTGTTCAGGGACCCTGAATGTTGCATGTTATTCCAACATCCCAGCAGAATGACGAGCGAGGCTCTCAGCATCTCACCCCTTCGGGTCGAGCAGGTCTCGGACCTTCTCGTTGTAAATCTCCATGTAGGACACCTCCACAGTGAAGCTCTCCCCTTCACGGGCCTCCTTCTCAGTCCTGCTGAACAGCGAGCTGCAGAGTCGAGGGATAAGACCGGGCTGCTCTGACGAGCCCATCATGGTGTACGACTTCCCAGAACCTGAAGATAAACGATCCAGACGCCAGTGAGAGACAGAACGAATCACTGATCATTTAACACAGAGCGCTGCAGCTAATGCTTGTATCCAGGATCATAACAAACTTAATTCATTTAGGAAAATTCAGCTGGAATAAAAGAAGCTGCCAAACTAGAGTCAGGTGAGAGCGCTTCATGTCTGACGTGAGTGTGAAGGTCTCAAACAGCATCCCATGTTATTCATTTGTAATCACGAAGAGGGGACTGCTGAGCCAGGCTTATGTTGCACCCTGCAGCTGTTTGACAGACGAGGCTTATGGGAGCTGTGGGCAGGGAGCGGCTGACCTGCCCGAACCTGCATCTGCCCATCAATCAAAAGTTAATCTACTGTTTCGGTTCAGCAGATGGAAAAATGGCAAAGAAGATGGCGTCCTGACAATGTCAGCCACGGCATCATTACTTCATCACGTATGAAGTCGAAGACACCAAGTGCTGCTTCTGCTTAAACAGGCGGAGCGTGCCGTGATAGTAAGATGGACTGTGCCAGCTCTTTCCTCCAGAGCCAATATGTGCAGCACAACAACAGATCAGTACCCACGTGTGTCAGGAAACACTCGGCATTCAGACAGAAACAGTGTGAAACAGGTTACTGCGCTGTGGAGTACAGAAACAAAGTTTTGCAGTGACTGTGACCCAAACTACTGAGAACTAAAAGTCACAAACAGTCAAATCCTGACTCGCTTCATTCAAACCTGACGTAGGAGAACAAATGGAAACATGTGATGCTGCGGTAGGATGTGCAGTTCCTCTTATCGTTACTCATTTTAAAGTTGTTGTTCTGAAATGTTACCCGTCTGCCCGTAAGCAAAGATGCAGGCGTTGTAGCCCATGAAGGCATTGTCCAGCAGACTCTCCCCGAGGCACTGGAACACCACGTCCTGACCTGCACACAAAACTCAGACTAACTGCTGGAATCAGACACAAACGAAGCTGATGATCTACAAACTTTTAACACGAACGAGACGACAGGAAGAATAATTTTGCTGTTTTCAGACTGAGCCACAACCAGTGTGACGCAGTGTGCAACCCCTTCATCCCAGCCCCCCCACGGCCGCTTTCTCAGCTCCATAAATAGCTCCCGAGTATCAGGAAACACTGTCAGGAGACACGTTTGAACAGACTGACATGAACCTCTGTGAAAATGTACCAACCTGCAAACTTGTCTTTCTGAGAGTCGTCCATAGACCAGAAACAGTAGTCGTACGCAAAGACCTGCAGAAAACATGCGACACACGTCTGTAATGTGCACACCATAAATGTGTGATTAATAACTCATCATATTTACCTTGGGCTGATTCCTGCAGACAGAAAAGAAGAAATAATATTGTTACTGATATTTAAACTTATTTGTCATATCTCTCAGTAAAATCTTTGACCACAGACACACACGTACACGTGCACACGCACACATGAACTGACCTCGTTCAAACCTTTGGTCGCGTTTAATAAACATCCACTGAGTGTGTATGCACGGATGTGTGTTACAGAGAAACACAAGAGTCTACTTTAAAAGCTTGTTTTTCCTGCAACCAAGTGCTAAAAACACAAAATCGGTTTCTATCTGCTTCCTGTTATTGTCTTACTAGAAACAGGCTGACAACATCTTTGAATGGGTTTGTGCTCCAGGCTGTGAAACATTCAGGCTGATGTCAGTTGAAGAGCTTCCATACTGGCTTTTCCACTTGTGCTGTTTTTCTGAGGAAGCAGAAAAGCAGCAGGACTGAAGGAAACTTGAGGCTTTCCTGTCTGCAGCCGGATGGAAGACGGCTGTGCAGATCTCCAAGAAGAGGAAGTTCGGTGCAGATGGTATCTTCAAGGCTGAGCTCAATGAGCTCCACGCTGGGGAGCTGCTGAGCACTCTGGGGCAGAGGCGGGTGTGTGGACGGTCAGCTGAACGAACAGGATGCGGTGGGCTTTAAGGCAAAGCTCAAGCTACATCAGGACTCCAGCTCAGACGTGACGCTGCCCCCATCTGCCAGACACGTGAGCTCAAATACAACAACCACCAAACTGCTCACTGCACTCAAAACCAAAGCGTGAGCGTCATACTCCAGGGAGCACAAGTGCCCCCCACACAGGAGGAAGCAAAAGCCAATCATATAACAGCACAATCAAACTAACCCCATACAAGCAAAACAACGCAAACACTGACAACACACAAGTCTGACATGCAATAATATGGCAGCATTTTCAGCCACACTGAGTCACTAAAAGTAAAGGTTTCTCACTCTCTCACACACACACACACACACGCACGCACACACACGCGCGCGCACGCACACACACGCACACACACACACACGCACGCACGCGCACGCACGCACGCACGCTGCAACGAAACAAGGCCTCCCTGTGTGAGACTGGGCTGATCCATGAAAGAGCAGCCTTTAGTCCCGCTCTCCTGGGACGGTGAGGACATTCCTGAGATAACTGGAATCACTAAAGCAGGACGATGGTAGGTCAGCAAGTCTGTGATCAACAAAGTCTGGCTTTATACAACCAGTGATTTACAAATCAAAAAAAATGGAAACAAAGAAATCACCAGGTTTTGTTTGTTTTTTTACCTAATTTGTGTTTCTAAGAAAAATCAGAGCCATATGAGGATATCAATTTAAAATTTCGATAGAACAGTAGCAGCATAACGTCCTCGTAAGTGGATATCAGGCCCTTGAAGAGCAAGACTTAGTATTTTGGCCTAAATAACCCAAAATGTGATGTCCACATATGTGGACGCAGGTCCTAGGAGGTTAAAGCAGGAACAGGGCTTCATTAATCTGACAGGCCCTGCTGGGCTGCAGCCTCCCAGGGTGCTGGGACATATTAACACCCCCTGAAGCAGCTGAACCATCAGGCAGTGAGCTGACTAAGCACAAACTTTACAGAAGAGGCCGTCCTCTTCACAGCAGACAGGGGAACTGCAGTACTACAGACACAGATGCCTTCTGCTTTCCACTTTGGCTGAACGCGAAATGCACACAAAACAATCGGCACACAGAACCGTCTGTTAGAGACACTGATAGCAAAACACCTGCAAATGGCTAATATGATCAAATCAGCTGATGACGTCGGTCTGCCGCTATTATCGCTTTACATCTACACCCTCTTTATTATGAATTCATATTATGATCCTGCTGTGTAATGATGGTAGCATGTGTTCCCTCCTACAGGAGCTGACCAATCATGATCAACCTTTGCATAAACACCCTGTGAGTGCCAACATCTGAGTTGTACAAATCCAACAATCGTGTGCATTTGTACATTTGACAGTGCAATTAAGCACCAGGCTGAACGTCAGGTTGTGCGTCACAATCCAACGTATTATAGCGTCACACTGCAATGACTGCAGCGTTTGTAACGTCCCATTGAGACAGCAGTGGTAGGACTGGAGACCAGCTTGTGCCACAGAGGCTAAAAAAGCAGTTTAACTCCAGTCGGCAGGAAGCTTTTGGAGAAGTCCGCGACACGTGAGAAGATTATGTGAAATGCTAAAAGCTTCGTAAAGACCAAATTTACCGACTGGATAAATTGGGTCACGCCTTCCATTAGGAAGAATAAAATTCACTTCTATAGTAACAACACTGTTGATTCTTGTTAGTTTGTTAATGTAAAATCTAACTATCATGAGTTACAGATGAGTTTACCACCTCCACCGTTCCCGTCTGACCTCTGTGCTGGTCTGGGACCATCTGTGCCGCACTGAGCCTGTAAAACGTGTTCATACCGAGCCCCAAATGGGGAAACGCAGCGCTGCTGAAGCGTGTCAGGACAGAAGAAACACGGATACATACGCATGAAAAAATGCAAAGAATCACAGTGAAATATGAGACTTGAACCTCCTTACAAAGGCAGCGATTCATTTAGTCCATGTTTGCCCTAAGGCACAGTTACATGCTGAACAGGGAACCTGAACGAGGACCAGGACCTCCAGGGAACATCTCCCTGCACCACTCAGTATCTGGCTCACTGCAACACGAGGAGGAGGATCGGCCATCAAAACAAATACAGTTTTGTGTGTGCACAGCAACGCGCTGCACCAGTGTGACATCATAAACGCGACTGGAGTTACAGAAAACTCCGACACCATTTCCCTTTGCTTCTTCCTGCTCCTTCAAATGTGTGTCAAACTACCTGAGCAGGGCTGAGCCGGGACACACGCCCTTTGTAAAGAGTAACGATGCAGAAGAGCCAGAGGGAGATTTCCACGGAGGATGGGTGGAGTTCTAGATTTGAGCCCTTTTCCAAACGACTGGGCGCCAACCTGAAAAGCTGGTTAGATTCTCTCCAAACTCACCTGACGGTAACTAAATGAGTGAATCTGTGCTACAGTCAGTCCTGTTATTGTACACATATTACAACACACTCCCAGCCAGGAATCTCACTGAACTGTCTGCACTTGTCCAATGCAAATAGCTGCTCATAAAAAGGAGAGACAGTCATTAAAATGTTGCAGCGATGAGGAGAAGAGTGTTGCTGTGTAAGGCAGAGGGCCTGATGATGTCATGGTCTTACCCTGATAGCATGAACGGTATGATTTCCGGCTGGCCCAGGATATCGTTGCTTGTGGCTCAAAAAAGTTGCAGCTACCGCAGTGGCTTTGTGACCCCACAGAGGTCACGCAGAGAGGTCAGTGTAAGACATGTAGGTGGCTGTATCGGTGAGTGCATCTGAATGTGATTTTGGTCATCACCCTGACACATTACAACTTCTGCTTCTACAAACCAACCAATAGAAATGCAGCATGAAAGACCAAGTATCACAGGTGAAGAGTTAATGTGACCGAGAAGCTGAAAACCTGGTACGGCAGCCTTTCAACCATCTCACGTGATGGAACCACGTCCACGATGCTGTGTCAATACTCACGGAAACAGGAAACGGTTTACAGAGCTTGTAGACCCCCTGCTCACCACTTTTGCACTGGCCTCACATTTCTGACCTGGAAGCTGTGTGTATGGTGCTGATTCACTGAGACAATGTCTGCCTTGGTAAATACTTATCCAACACAGGAGCCCGTCCCTGCTGACGGCGGACCAGACGCAAACCTAAATCTCTGAATGTTCTTCAGCGGCTATCATGACAGCGACATCGCACGGTAGGAAGCAGCAAAGGAATTGCAGCTCTGAATCACAGCCAAAGATTTAGTAGCTATCATCAGTCTACAGAAAAACCAGAGTTTATTAGATCCATGCTGCAAATTTCAATTTAACACATTCTGAAGCACACCTATGGTCAAGCTCCAGGTCATGCTCCAGCCACCAACACCGGTGCACGTCTGAAACACAGCTAAACAAGCTGTGGCGTGCTGCTTAACTAAAGTTTACTTTGTCAAGTGTGATGTCATCAGATTGATGATCCGCAGCAACGTGACTCAAGCCGACACGTCTGCTCAACAATGTTTCCTGACAAAGAAACTGATTGGCTAACCAGGGAGGCTCCACTGTGGACAGGATCAAAGCAGGAGTAGATGTTGTGGTGAAAGTGGAACAAAGGAGAAAAACTAAACCACAAAGTGTCTGAAATTTAAACAGGTTGGCTTCAAACTCACGACTACTTTCTTCCATGTAACAGCTTACCGGGGGTCTGCTGTGTTCATACTAGTGACGGCTGGATGCAGGACTGTCTGGTTCCCATCAATCTCCACCACACATTTGGTTTTCAGGTCTTTTTCTGGATAGTGGAGAAAAACAACATGTGATTTTTGGACTAAAAAAAACAAAGTGAAATGTCCAAAAACAAGCTGCAGTCTTCATAATGCACCGTTTAAAAGCAGCAGCTCATATACTGGGTGTCATAACTTTCCCTAAAAGTGACTGAGTCACTCTGCAGAGTAACAGGTGGCATGCCTGCCTGCCTGTGTGTCCTTAAGCTTCAAACAGGCCAACAAAGGGAGGCAGGAAGGAGGTTTTATTGAGGCCGATTCATCCAGGCCTGCACAAACACTACGACCAGTTTACAACTCCCTGTGCAGACACTAAGGAAAACCAGGCTCACACCTTCTCTTCCTCATTCCTACCTGCACTGGAAGGATTTTAAGGCGGAGACAGAGCAGCAACTTCCTGTCAGAGTAGGTGTTAGGGCATATGAGTCACAAGGTTGTATTTTATCTTTTAAAATGCTTTATTATCAGCTTTCGTTTGAGGGTCTTAATCAGAAAGTGATAGCTACACTTAAAAGTTCAAAGGTTGCTGCTGCAGTTAGCTGACACTCCAGTCCAGCTCAGCTGTTGTCAGAAGTATTTAGGCCAGTGACAGTGCACAAAACACGTCTCTGCCATATTTGAAGCTTAAATTTAAAGACATAAGAAGTGCGTGTATACTTCAGAGCTTGAGGAGAAACCGGACCCTGCACCGAGCCTTACTGTTTACCAAAAGTTGAACGAGAGCAAACACGGACTCAGATATGGGTGAAGTGCAGGGCCGATACTTCCCTTTGAAGGTGGACGGTTGCCTTTAAAAGGCTTCACTGAAACCAGCGAGTGCAGCCGTTTGTACTCACCTCTCCTGTTCATTGGCCGCACACGAACAGCCACCTTTACATTGGAGACACTGACACTGTTGTCATCCATGGTGGCAGCTGACCTGCGTCACATGAATTAAAAAACAAACAAACCCCAAAACACCCGTGAAATGACTTGGCGTGTACGTAATATCACACATTGTGAGATAACACTTATTTATCCGAGTGACACCTGAACACAGCGATTAAACTGCGTTCATTTTCGAAATCACTTTAACTCCAGTCAGTGACTGGTGAAGTCTGCCGTGAGAAGATAACAAGGCAAAGAAAAGAAATAAACCCTCCATAGTTCAGAGTAGCAAACTAACCGTGTGTGCAGTGGTTTGCCCGTCCGACTCTCCTCTCCTCTCAGGCACCTTCAAGTAGTGACACACAGCAGCTAGCCGGGCACGCTAATGAGGGCTGCATGACAGCAGCACACAGGATTAAATACTTCCACATTTACCGCCGACAAAAGTAACCGGCACTTGTACACAGCACCGTGGAAAGCCCCGTTAAGGTCTAAGAAACACTTACGATGGTCCAGGGTTCACAACCACAGCTCCTCCACCTGTTGCATTTCCTGAAGACTTCCCGCAGGAATCAGTCAAGCCATGTCAGCTCGCGGCTAAAGGGATTTGCTGCGAGCCTTAAGTCAGAGAGCTTCCAAGTCCGTCAGCTGCTCCGCGCACACGCGGACCATCGCTATGAGACGGAATGGAGCGCCGCTCTGTGGTCGCACCTGTCGTAGAGTCTGCGCGTCTCCTTCCAGCTGCGCTTATTCGGCACATGTTGGGATGTTTTAGCGAAACAGCCCTACTCACTGTTAAATAAGCCAAACCTGGCGTTGTTTTACTCATGAACAGATTTACGCGTCAATAAATGACAGGTTAAACACTGCGAAAGTGTGTTTACGTTATTTTGCGACAGCCGCTATCCCCGCACGACAGGTGCCGTGTTCGGTCGCAACGTGGAGTTGTTTACTGTTACCCCAGAGTGCTGTCGGGCTTTAAAGACAGATGAAGCACTTTTAACAGACCTCCTTTCGTAAATAATTGGACTAGGTGACTAACGAAGGAAATGGGGAAGCCAAAGAAAAAGAGTGAGTGTGTGGCAAAGCGTTTAAAACATCGCAAACTGCTTTCTAAAGTGCTGAGGGTGATTGTAGCTTAAAGCTAATGCTAACGGCAGGTCCCATAAGATGATGACAGAAGCTGCATAACTCGGCAGAGAAGAGTTCAGCAACTTTTCTCGTTTTCATAGAGATCCGTTACACCGCATACTGGACTGCGATTCACTCCGTAAAGCTGCATTCGACAATTTGGACTCCTGCACATTATAAAGCTGTTTAAATAACCTGCGAATAAATCTTCTCACTGTAATGACCGTAATCTCACTATGCTGCTCTTGGTCAGGTGACCTGAGCCGAGCCGAGCTGATGATGATGACCATTGCCGATGTCATCAAGCAGCTGGTTGAAGCCCACGAGAAGGGAAAAGACATCAATCTTAACAAGTAAGTAATCAACGATACAGTAGACATACAGCGTGTGCAACAATAGTCTGTAACCAAAACAACAATGAACTGGTCCCACTAACTGTCTACCCTCTGTGTATGTGAAGTTGATTAGTCTTAATGCTCTTTGGCACAGAGCTCCACTGAACAGCGCTGCTGCAAGGACACGTCTTTATTCTAAAAATGTGCACTGTAGTTTATTTATGGACAGCTCAACAACGATGACCATTTTCTGTGTTGGGCTATTGGAAAAATGCACGTGTAAGCCCTCCATGTCACAAAAGATTATAAATTGATATCAGCTGCAGGAAACAGTCATGTGATTACTGTGTAGATTACATAGGCTGCATATTACAATAATTAAGAATCTAGTATAGATGGTAGATCTCCCCCCCCCTTACACGTGGTTCTTTCTCTGGGCCTGTGGTCATCTAAGTGCTGCAGTCCTGTAGTCTGGGCCAATGATGTTGTTGTTATTCATGCAAACTTCACAACCAAACATCTGGTGTGTGTGCCTTAGTGCACTTGGCATGAGTGACTTGTACATCTGTGAAGAGCCCCTCAATGCAATATGATTTATGGAGGTTTTGAAGGAATCAATGTTGTCATCCAGATGTCAAGCAAGACAACGCTAGACCACAATGTGCAAAAGACATTAGCACATTATTGAATAATTAATATGACAAAGGAGCAGCTGAAACACATCGAGGAACAACGAGAAACCTCTTCCTGTCAACCCCAGAGCCGCTGATCTCCTCAGTGGGAAACATGCGCCTATTCCAACTTTTTTAAAAAGCTTTTTGTGCCATAAATCCAAAATAAGTTTGCATTAAAGAACAATTTTAATGAGTTTTTTGTACAATTTTCAGTTCTAGGTGAGTTTTAAGCAAGTTGCATTTTGTGTTTTCAAACAGAGTTAAGACTCAGGCTTCAGCTAAATATGGACTTGAAGCTCAGCCCCGATTGGTGGATATCATCGCAGCTGTTCCACCGCAGTACCGTCGAGCGCTGGTGCCCAAACTAAAGGCCAAACCTATCCGCACTGCCAGCGGGGTACGTTGTGTTTATTCTGCCGTCCATATCTCTGTCCTGGGCCCTATTTCAGGAAGCCGGTTTAGTGCAAACTCTGAGTAAGTATACCTGAGTTAACGAAAACTCTGGGTTTTCGGTTTCACAAAGCGAGTTTAGATTAATTCTGAGTGAGTTACTATGACGACACACTCCGTGAAGCTAACCTGCCCCCTAGCAGGTTTACTTCAACTAACCCTGACGTTCTCCGCCTCTTTGTCAGAAACCTGACTGTAGGAAGTGTCAGACATGGCGTGCCCTTCCTTGAAGAGCCAGTAGATGTTGAAGCCCAAATTCTCCGCAGAGCTCTCCGCCGGGAGAGAGTGATTAGAGCGCGTTTGGACATTTTATCATTTCCTGATGATTTCCTGTGTGAACGTTACCGTTTTTCAGCACAATCTATAATTTATTTGAATAACATCCTCAGGCCTAATATTGCTCATGTGACACATCGCGGACATTCTCTCAGTTCTGTACATATTATTTGTATTGCACTTCGGTTTTTTGCAAACGGGAGCTTTCTGTATAATATTGGTGACGCTGAGCACGTTTCCAAGGCTACCGTCTGTCGGGCAGTCAGGAATGTTACAGTTGCACTGAAACGTCTCCTGTACTCGTTTGTGGTGTTCCCCGGTCATAGACCCACAAGATTTATCAAAGAGGGATGCCACAAAATTGCAGGTATCAGGATGAACAAAACTTAATTCATGATGTGGTGATACTTGAACTACTACTTAAATTTTACATTTATTCTCACGGTTCCCAGGCGTGATTGGCTGTACAGATGGCACTCACATTCCAATCATTGCTCCTTCAGTAAATGAAGGAGACTATGTGAACAGGAAGTCTTTCCACAGCATTAATGTACAGGTACATAGTTCCCTGTAGCATTTCAAACTAACAAATTATTTCATTATAGTAATGGATGCTAATTTGTGTTCTCTGCACTGTGAAGATCATATGTGATGCTGCCAACATTATCACAAATGTGGAAGCCAACTGCTCAGCCTCTGTGAGTGGTGGTGGTGGAGGACCCCCACCTGTTTTTCGGGCCTCCGCTTTTTTTCTGTTGGCTATAACGGGTCACATTTGAGCATACAGAGTAAGCAAATATGTACTTGTAATGTGCTCAGATAATTTCAATAAGTGCTTACAGAAAGGAAATTAATGTAGCCTCTAACTGCAATTGATTTACAAACAGACCAAGCACTATGGCTCATAATACAATTACACCTCACCTGTTTGGACTATATTTTTATATTTCATTTTTACTTGCTGCCAGGAACGTTTGGGGCCTGTTGGGTTGCACCTGCGCTCACATCACATCACAAAATAAAATGTATGAAATAAAAAATAAAATATAATAAAATAACGTGTTAAATGGGTGGAAATCCCTAGATCAATGTTTAAATTAACACTCACGCATTGACTCTGTCGGCTATGTTTTGCCATGCATGCTCCCTTTCTTTTGCAGCTGAGGCTGTGTTACTTTTTTTCTGCAAAATTTGCATGTTATCGCATATGCTGCCATCAGAATTTCGGCCTCAAGCGCTGTAAAATACATTGACCGCGCCTTCTTTCCCTCCGTCTCCATGGTGACTCGCTTAATCTGTGCTCCACTAATCAGGGCTTTATGTATCCTCGTGCGCGCGCTTAACTTGGGGTTAAAGCAACTCCGCGTTGACTGAACTAATTGTTATCAGCCTTTCTGAAACCGAATATTCCGAGTTGGACAGTTCGGGGTTACTCAACCGTGAGTATCGTTTTTCACTCTGAGTTTTCTAAACCGGCTTCCTGAAATAGGGCCCTGCAGTCTGATATTTCAGGTTAAGGTTCAGTAAGGCTGAAAGAAAATGCACTAAGTGGCTTGTTGAGGCATGTTGAGTAATAGTTTGGAGTCACATGTTAGCAGGTGTGTGTGTGTATGTGTGTTTGTGTGTGTTTATGTCTGGTATAGGATGAGTACAGCGTACAACACTGATGGGGTTTAATCCTTCAGCTCAGCTTTAGATGGACAGTGAAGATTGGAAATGCATGAATGTTCAGACTATATGGAAATTATCTCTCACAATACCTAACCCCCAAAATGGGAGCAGATTTAATAACTTGTGTTTTTACTGCAGATTGCAGTCGTAGCTGTGATGTGTAAACCTCATCGATGTCCTCACATCAGCTTTACAGGCAACATCTGTGTGTAAGTTTTGCTTTTTGATGAGAGAAAATCTGTGAGGACATATTTCATCTTTGAGCTGCTTCAGCATGAGCAGTATCAGTGCTGTGTAAGTATATTTAGTGGTCATACTGTGGTTCACAGAACAAACCCTAAAGCCAGGTAGATGTAAAAGCTTTGACCTGTTTGAGCTTGAAGTGCTGACAGGAGTTTATTAATAATCAGTTTTTTGTTTTCACTCTGGCAGCTACTGTCCCGGTGGACCGGACTCTGACTTTGAGTACTCCACACAGTCTTACACTGGCTACGAGGTGAAGCACCTTGATTTTCATCTACTGTGTATGCCTGCATGGAAGGTTTGAAGCCTGATAAAGTAAATAAGTTGTCTCCTCAACCCAAACTGGGAGCTGTTTCCACAGCAGCCTCTGCGTCCCATTCTACTTTCAGAAACTCTCAAATCCACAAATAAGCAGTCAGAGAGCAACGTGCTCGTTAGAATAAAATGTTATTGCGAGGACTTTACTGCCTGATCATCCAGGACTTTGTGAGGACAAAGACTTAAAAATGAATTCTGGATTTATCCTGGAGCCGGTTTAGAAAAGTTACGGACAAAATCGAATCGTGGCAGTGCTCTCGCTGTGTTTGTGTAGAGACCAGAATTTATACGCATGTGCCTCGACACACGTGTAGCTACATTTCTAGGGAAGTTCACATCACGTTATGATGTCGTGTTTGTCTTTGTTTGTGACTTCCCTACAGTGAAGAACCCAGAGGTATAAATCCGTTATAATAACTACAGTAATTCAGCCTAGAAGTAACAGTTACATGAAGTGGTCCTTCAGCATGAGGCAGGATGTTTGCAGAGATATTGTGCAGGTGAACAAGAGCATTCCTCCGAAACGGTTTAACATTCAGCTCAATGGACACGCTCTGTTCAGAAATGACTCCCAGGTTCCTCACAGTGTTACTGGAGGCCAGAGTGATGCCATCCACATACATCAAGTGTGTATATTTTGTGCATTGATACTTTGAGCCATGTTTTTTAATTTAACCCAAAAAACGGGTGTGTAAGGTTCTTAGCACAGAACCCTGTGGAACACATGTCTGTCTTTTGTATGTAAGCAAACGTTAAATGTCCTTCCTGCTTCTCCCCTTCTTTCTGACAGCCGACTTCCATGAGAGCCATCCGAGCTCGTTACGACCCCTACCTGCAGACCAGACATCGAGTGGAGCAGGTCGGTGATTTTCTACGGTGTACTTTTTAAAAATTGACATTGTTTTGATTATTTGTGTTATTTTGGCTTTTCCTGAAATTACAGAAGCAGGAAGCACCTTAATCAGGTGTTTCGATTGAAGTGTGTCTCTTTATGTGGTCTCTAGATGAGCCATTTCCACAAATCAGCCGGTGATAATATATTTAGGTGCTGTAATGAGTGTCGAGGCTTTCACTGACCCTAATTATGCCATTATTTAAATTTATGGGCCCATTAGTGCTTCGCAGCAGAGCAAAGTCAGTCATTGGAACAGTTCATGTGGATCTTTTTTTAAACTGGACACAGTTTTTGTTTTTTCCATGGAGCTTTGCCTGTGGGGGGTCCGGTTTATGTGCACTAGCTGTTTAAAGTTTAATTACAGTTAATTTTTTGAGGGAACAAAATGATCGTTCTGCTGAGTAATGGTGCATTGCTGCACTTAGCTGAAGTTGCAGATAAGTCCATTGCTTTAATGGTACCCAACCCTCGGGTGTGATTTGCAGCTGAAGCAGCTGGGCCACAGCGTCGACAAAGTGGAGTTCATCGTGATGGGAGGGACCTTCATGGCTCTGCCTGAGGACTACAGAGACTACTTCATCAGAAACCTTCACGACGCCCTGTCAGGACACACCTCTAACAACGTGGCTGAGGCTGTCAGGTATTTAATGAACTCCAGCGTTGAGCCTGGCAGGGGTCTGTGTCTCACAATAAGAGCAGAACACATAGTAGGATCTCTCTTGATAACAAGGATGTTAAAACGGTCACGTATGCTAGAACTACTGAGAATAACAACGGTAGCATGTTTGGACCCTTCCATGCTAGTGGTTGAAAAGTAAATGCCTGCTTTTGTGTGAAAAGGCACGTGAGAACATCTCCAATGACATAATGTCGGAGTTAAAGGTTGGATTTCATGTGGGTTTCAAAAAGCTCGCAGCGAGTGATGCAGAGATTGTGAAGCGGCTGACGTCTTTGGGATGTGTCGATTCCTGCAGTGATTATTAGACAGAGGTTTTTCCTGTAGGCAGCAGGCCCTGTTTGCACCTTTCCCTGACGGCCACTCGCCCCTGCAGCCTCTGGTCTCAGCTGCAGTGTTTTTACCATCGGATTTTCAGAAAACGTGTAAAGGTTGTAACCACAAGAGGGAGCAACTTCACCATTTTCAGTATTTCCCTGAACTCACTGAGCTCTTCTCGCCTTCTGATCATCTCATTTTACTCTGACTGTCCATTTGCATGTTAACATCAAACTATTACCTGAGTCTTACCTGCAATCTTCTAACAGATTTTCTGTCACCCGTTGTTTTGTTTGACTTCTTCTGTATATTTTGGTGGTGATCTGAAACGTAACTTTTACATTTGGATTATTACTCGATAAGCCAGTGTTTTTTAGTGCCTTGTGTCATGTGGCACACCTCGGCCTTTTCTCCCCGTTTCCTGTGTGTAACAATGGCTCCTGCCTATCGTCTCTCAGGGCTACTGTACTGTAACCCTGAGAGACGGCGGGAGAGAAGAGACGGTCTCTTCCGCTGAGACCATTTATGTTGAGGCAACAGTAGGTGGATCAGCTGATTGCCCAGACGCAGCTCTCTCTTCTGACCAAAGTGTGGACACAGATTTTCATTTAATGGTTTTTCTTTATTTTCATGATTATTTACTTTGTAGTAAAAAAGTGTGAAATAACCCGAAACATGTTTTATATTTTAGATTCTTTAAAACAGCCCCCTTTGCTTTGATTACTGCTCTTCGATGAGCTTCATGAAATGCTTTTCCTTAGTCGTGGTTTCTCAGCAGCTGTTTGACCATAAAGGCCTGATTCACACAGTCTCCTCTGAACATGTAGAGATGTGTCTGCTGCCGGAGCTCTGTGTGGCATCTATCTGATCTGAGCTGCTGCTAACCTGCGCTTTCTGAGGCTGGTGACTCGGATGAATTTATCCTCAGCAGCAGAGGGACTCTTGGGCTTCCTTTCCATAAACATGTGAGCCAGTTTGGTCGTAGCGCTTGGTGGTTTTTGTGACTGCACACATTCAAGGTTTTAGCAAGAAACTCCACAAATGATCCCTGACAGGCACACCTGTGAAACCATCTCAGGTTTGCAGCCCTGCCAAAACAAGCAAAGGGCGGCAGCTTAGAGGAATCTGAAAGATAAAATATATTTAGAGTTATTTAACCTTTTTTTCTCTGCCTCCAAAGATCTGGTTTCATATATTTGATGTCTTCAGTTTGTACAATGTAGGAAGCAGGGTTTCAATAGTTTTACAATTTTCATTAGTTTTTATTTTTATTTAGTTTTGACTTCAGATTTTCAATTTTATATCAGTTTTAATTAGTTTTTACCAATTGTTTGCTAGTTTAGTTTAGTTTTTATTTTTTTGAAAATCCTTAGTTTCAGTTATAGTTTTAGTTGTGTTTGCAATAATTAAGTGTAACAACATCCCAGTTTCATCATATCAGTCATGCTCTTCTGCTCATCCTTGGGTATGTTGCTATTCCAGTTACCATACTGCACCCTGCACAGGTCGCCTGTCTGTCGCAGGGCTAACACGCAGAGACAGACAACTCACATTCCCACCTATGGGTTCTTTAAATAAATAAATAAATACATAAATAAAGGCAGATGAACAACCACTGATACCAGGCAACTATAAAATGTATATCTTGGCCCCAATGAGACTATTAACTCTCGCAGCACCGGGTGTTCGTAATTTTGGTTCAAGTGAATTGATAAACTTTTTGAAGGCATTTGACTCACACAGTTGTGTAGATATCCCCATCCTGTTGTCTCGGGATGCATCACGCTGCCTTGCCTGGGGTTAGCGTCTGTTTCTGGGGATGAGGGTTGAGTGTGCTCCCTTCTCAAGGTAAGCTAGGTTAGCCTTCTTGTGCGAGCTTTTCAAGTGCACTTTAAGGTTTGTGGGATTTTTTCCTTTAGAAATGTCCCTCATAATTTGTCTCTTTCCACTACAAGACACTTGCTTTATCCAAAACACAGTCATATTCAAAGTAATCCCAAATTGGACTCTGGCGCTTTCTCCCGACTTTTCCTGACATGATTCTGCGCGTGGACGCAGCAACACAGACGACTCGACTAACGTGCTGCCACCTGCTGGCACAATGAGACACAGCAAGAAAAATCTGGGAACTAAACTTCATTTTCACCCTCGACTCTTGTAGGACACGCACACATCTACGAAAACTAAACACATTTTGCTATAAATTCAGTTAATTTTAGTTTTGTGAACACTCATTACAGTTTTAGTTAGTTTTCCTTTTTTTGTTTTTATTTTTATTTCCGTTAACGAAAATGTTTTTTCACTTCTAGTTTTCGTTATTTCATTAGTTTTCGTTAACAACAATAACCTTGGTAGGAAGTAGTAAAACCATTAAATGACAAGGTGTGTCCAAACCTGTGACTGCTGCTGTACATCATTGTGTCTGTTTCCTCAGAGGCTGTGCTGCACACCATGCTGGTGATTCTTTGGGAATCACCGTGTGTGTGTCACCAAACGTGTTAACCTTCTTTACATGTTTATATGATCAGCTGAAAAATAAAAATGAAACCAGTGCAGCATGAGTGTAATACTGGGACTCCCAGCATCCCCTGCTTGTGCCATGCAGTAATAAAGTAGCGTGCCTAATTCCACTCTGCTTTAGTTCAGTCACCACCAGACTTCATGAAAGAAGTAAAAAGACGTTGATGAGGAATCCACACATTAAACTGTTGAATGAGTTCATTCAGGATTCGGGTGAAAGGAATAAGTGAAGTCACTCTGACGAGTCCTCTGCTTTTACGCCCATCGATTTCTCACTCGGCCACTTGTGGCCAGTTTTGAATGAAATCGTCCCGCAGCTGCTCGGTGTGGATGAGTAGAAACACCAAGATGATTGGAGAAGATTCTGAGTCAGGTTTATAGAGACGATTGGACCAAATAATGGGTTTGTCTGCGGCCAGCCGCATCAGCCTGTTTGTGTGCAGGAGTTATTTGCTTTCCTAAAGTCCGATTAGGCCCGAGAGGCTAGTTTGTGTGATTGCGTGTCTCTTCTGATGTATGTCCCGTGTGTGTACACGAGTGTGTTTGCAGGAAGTGTGTGAAAGTGTGCCTGAATCCTCCCTGCACTTCTATCAGCATGCTTTGTTAAGATGCTGGGATTACGGTAATTGCAGTGGCTGCGTCTGCAGGAAACACTCGGTTTTGCTGCCCTTATCTCTGTGTGTGTGTGTGTGTGTGTGTGTGTGTGTGTGTGTGCGTGTGTGTGCGTTTGAAAAAAGTCGTGTGCATTTGATGTCTCTGCTTCTCACCCTGCTCCTGATCGGATCGCAGCAGTGAGATACCTCGAGATAATCGCCCGAGATAATAGACTTTTTATTGATTCATCTCACACAATCTGATCATTCTCTCTGGAGCATAAACTCTTGTAATTGGTGTAAATCAGCCAGCAGACTGTAAAAGATGGACGTTTATTGCCAGCAGATACAGTCTGAAGGAATATGAGCCGGTGTGAAGGCAGCTAATCGTCATCAGAGCAGCTGGAGCGGAGAGAATGACACCTGGCCAGTGTCACAAGAAGAGGTGTGTGTGTGCCTGTGTGTGTGCACGCGTGTGTGTGTGTGTGTGTGTGCGTGCGTGTGTGTGTGTGTGTGTCTGTGTGCGTGCGTGCGTGTCTGTGTGTGTGTGTGTGTGTGTGATTTCGATCAGTCACTCAGATAAGTCTGGAAGCATCACTGGACTCGATGTTGTTTCTGTCTCGAGATTTGTAGAAGACGAGTGACCGCGCTGCGTCACATGTTGCTCTGTTTCCATCTCAGGCGTCCTTGTTGTTTATTGCTTTATTAATCAGCCTGTGTCACGTGGCATGCAGGGACACTTAGTGAGCAGTGTGGCCTACTGTTAATATTTAATGGGTTAGCTTTTATGATCATTCTGCACGTTGTTCCAAATATTACTGAAATGGAAAAGATGCAGAGTGTAGAGCGGACCAGAGGTGGTCGTACCAAATATTCACTTTGAAGATCATTAAACTTGTGCAAACTGTTTCTGCCTCATGTCCTGTACTTTCATGATTTCAATAAATCACTGCACCTCAGAAAGAAATGAGGGGCGACTCGAGCACTGAAAATCATAAAGAAATAGAGATTATAAAGAATTCAAACAAAGGGTCTGATTGAATATGTGATTCAGAGACAAATTGTTTAAAGGGACGAGCCAGTCGGGAATTTCTAAAGTGTGTGATTTTTGTTTGATGCCAAGACTGTTGACAGATTTCACTTAATATCAACAAGATGCTATCAGGTTCAGTCAGATTTGAAATGGAAGAAGTCTCAGCAGGACAGTTTAGATTTCACTGAAAGTGTTTGTCTTTGCAGAAAGATTAGACTCACGGACTTTGGCAGAGTTGCAGAGAGATCTGAATCCAAGTTTATAAGCTGGGATTGTTTGTAATAAAGCAGATTTTTATCTGGACGAACCACAAGATGTTACCTGGCCAATGGCTGCTCTGACTCATGCACTGCTCCCGCGTCTCCTGCCTCTTATAACCCAGAGAGCCTCAAAATGTATTGTAATTATGTCAGAAGTTGGCAGATGTATTTGTTGAATCCATTTGAAATGGTGTTAAAGACAGCTTCAAAGAAAACGCTTGAATCCAGCAGGACCAAACATACCCAGTAAAGTGTCAGTGACTTGCAAACAAAACACTTGTTAATGTCTCATTTAGCATTTCCCCCTGTCATGCATTTTCTTTATTGGATTAATCAGTGTGTCTTTAATGTGAGGTTAGTGTTAACTGTCGGGATAATGAGCCGAGCAAACTCGCAGCCTGTAAATTGATGTTGCTAAATGGTCCCAGTAATATGTTTCCTTCATATGGAGCAACTCAAACATTTAGACTCTGTGAGACTAAATAGTGAAATTAAAAAGACATTATCACACAGACATGAAAGCGATATTTTAAAAACACCCAATGAGCAGAAACGACATCAGCACAAGTAACTGGGAATGTTTTTCTCCTGCAGGTACTCGGAGCGCAGTAATACCAAATGCGTGGGGATCACTATCGAGACGCGGCCCGACTACTGCCTGAAGCGGCACCTCAGCGACATGCTGGGCTACGGATGCACCCGGCTGGAGATAGGAGTCCAGAGCGTCTATGAAGACGTGGCCCGCGACACCAACAGGTCCGTGGGTAGAAGTCATGTGGGGTGGGGATGGCTCAGTAGGTAGAGTGGCGGCCCCATGATCGGAAGGTCGGGGGTTCGAATCCACTGAACGGCTACCCTGAGGTACCCCTGAGCGAGGTACCGTCCCTACACACTGCTCCCCGGTGCGCTGCTTAGTGGCTGCCCACTGCTTCACTGAGTGAATGGGTCGAATGCAGAGAGAGTAATTTCCCCACGGGGATCAATAAAGTATACATTATTATTATTATTGATGGGGTTGCAGCCTGCAGGCTTTAACAGCTACTCTCTGCTTGTGTGTTTGTGCAGAGGCCACACGGTGCGAGCTGTGTGCGAGTCTTTCCACCTGGCAAAGGATGCCGGCTTCAAAGTGGTCGCCCACATGATGCCAGACCTGCCGAACGTGGGCATGGAGAGGGATGTGGAGCAGTTCATTGTGAGCTTTTTTCTTTCTCTTTAGCGCAGTTTTACTGCTAATCTGAGCTGAAGGTGAGAACGGATACGAGGAACGAGTGAGGGTTGGTAGGTTATCGGTATTACTTTGTCAATAAGAGGGAACCGCTTCCACCGGGGCGAGTGGACTTGGTTTTGGAGGTTAAATGATGGCAGCCTTTTGCTTGTACAGTGCTGTGAATCCCTGTCTTCTGCATATACAGGAAATGTTGTGAGTCCTTACAGTAATCGCATTACTTTTGAGGCCTCGTTGGTGGCCTCCCTGGAAAATTCTGGTCGCTAAGGAAAAATGTGCATTCAGCGAGCAGCTGGTTGGTGGTTGCTGGAGGTCAGCAGCTGTGCTGGGTGCTGTCAGGCTGAATAAGAAGGTGCTGCACCAAAAGTGTCCTCTCGACCGCTTTGGTCACCAGCAGATCGCCACGGTTTGGATGGAAGGTGCCGACCGCTCTGCAAACACTCACTAACGAAACATCAAATGATGGTGAAACTCAAAAAAGTGAGACACAAACTTCAAATTAAAAGTTGTGCCTTCCTGCTCAAACAACACGTTTCAAAGACGCAGCTTTTAATCAGTCAATCAATCAATCAAAGCTTTATTTGTCACATGCAGGTTGCCCTGCAGTGAAATGGGACCCCCCCCGACCTTACACATATAGCACAGACATTACATGGGGATACAGGTCGGAGATTGGTAGAATCAGAGAAAAAAACATTGAAATGTACACTACAATGGGAAGAGGAAAAAAAGAGACCCCTACTCATGCTGTGCTTCCATGGTAGGACAGCATGAGAACAGGAAACAAAAAAAACTCCTCTGCACAAAAAGCACATAAATGTCCACAGCACAACTTTGTGAAGACATGACAAGCCACAGAGGTGGGTGGGGGGTGAGGAGTAATCCGAAGCGAACACAGCAGCCGCCCTGCACAGCGCTACCATTCCAGCGCGGCACACAGCCCGCCGCGTTCCCTCGCAGGAAACAAGCATCGAAGGCGTTGGAAAGGGAGGGGGGATGAGTGTGTGCTTATCAGTGTGTGTGTGTGCGTGTCCATAGTTCAGCTGAGACAGTGTCCTTCGCCCTGCCAGGCTAAGTAAACAGTCTGCCAGCCAACCCAGGTGGCCTTGCATGGGATGGGAAGGAACAGACTCAACGCAGTCGTTATCAGGGAGTTGTTGTTCGGCTCCAGCCCGAACCGTGAGAGCTCTCTGCCCGTGCTAACGAGCGTCCAGCTGCAGACCGCCACGTAGTGATGTGTTGGTCGCGAACGAACCGCCTCTTAGAGCCGGCTCTTTGAAGTGAACGCGCGAGCCTCTTTCTCTCGCACTTTTTTCCGCTTCACTCTGCACGTGACCCTTGTGCTTGAGGAGCAGAGGGGGGAGGGGCGACTTCCTGTGTAATTTGCATAATTTTGAATCATTATTATGCTTTAAATTTTACTTCTGTGATCCTCGTCTTCTTTTTTTTTTTTTTAAACAAAAAAGTACAGGCTCCGCCTCGCTGACTGACATCAGCACAAATATGGCGGTCAGTGTTTGTCGGCCGTGTCATGTTTTGCACTGACTGAATGTTAAAAGATGGTTTGATTAAAACGATGAAAGCTGTCACCACTGATATATTTCAACTGAAGGTTAAAGACCAAAGCATAACGTACAGAAACAGAAAGCATCAACTCCTGGTCACATGATTATTTTGGACCTCAGCGTTGGCCAGGATCGAATCCCTGATTGGATATTTTTATGGATTTCCTTCATAAGAAAAGTTGTAAGCGGACAGAAGTGTGTCGACATGTTCTTGAGAAACAAAATGAGTAAAAGCTCCAGACTAAAAATAGCACGTTTGGTCGATCATCAGGTTTATTGTTTGTGGAATAAGTAGTCAGACCTTCCCTCTTCTGCATGGCAGCAGCGTGCGTCACCTCACAGTGCGATAGTACCAAGTATGTCCCACGTGTAGCGTCTCAAAATAGACCCGGAAGACGGCGACAGTCACTCACAGTCGATGGAAGTCTTGTCAGATGCCACTCAACGACGGGCTCAGTTTGCTGCTGTGATTGGAAACATGGCTGAATGCGCAGAATCAGACGGGCTGCCTTCCCAGAGCGCCAAACTGTAGGACGTAAATGACGACTCGGTTTGAAGCTGCGTGCGCTCTGAGCTCATTCCACTTGTTTTGAAATCAGGTGATGAAAATGCAACGAAGGAAAAGAGCAGATATGACTAATCGGTGCAGGTGATATGACAGTGGCTGTGTAAGAACCAGCAGTGATATTGATTTCCCCTCTCGTACCTGATAATTAAACCGTGTTTGTGTTTCGTTTTTAAACTGCTGCGTCTGATACGTGGCTCGCTTTGAAGGAGAATCTGATACAGAGATGAAAAGACCCCAAACCGCCGTGTTGCTCTGAGATTAGCTGTAACCTGCTTTCACACTCAGCTCAAAGTGAAGACATGTTTGAAAAAGATGTTTTAATCTCAGATACTTAAGTTTAAAATGTCAGAGTTTGTAGAAGCCTTGGCTAACAGCACAGCGTGATGTGGGCAGTTTGTTTGGTTCTCACAGGTCCAGTGGCTTTATTGTCTTTCCAACCACGTGCAGTAGGGGTGGGCGATATAAACGATATACGATAGAAACGATATAAATTTGGCCAACGATAGAGATTTTGACTATACCGCTCTAGCGATAGCGCATGTTGATGATGTCATCAAGCTGCGCCTGTTTTGGTCGAAAGCATCGCAGCGGCTAAAACCATTATCATCTGGAAAATATGCCGACAGCCACAGCAAAGAGATGAAGCACTGTTGAAATATGGGGAAAGCCAAAAACTGCGCTTCCTCCACTTCCCTAACAATGTTGAATTAATGTTGTAACTTAATGTTGAATTCTCTGGCAGCTGCTCTGTTCCCATGTTGTTGCAGTATATGAATGACTAACCTCGTATTATGGATGAATAATCTCAGTTGTTCTCCTGACTGAAGTTTGGCCCGTGTACAGGATCCTGCTATGCGATTGCATTTGTCCCTGACCACCAGAATCCCTCACGTTAACTTTTATCCAGTGGAAAAAAGTTCATCCTCCAGCTTCACTGTGCTAATGTTATGCTAACATAGCTGTGTTGCTAGCAATCACGTAGCACAACATTATATACCAGGTAGGGGTGGGGGAAAAATCGATACTGTGTAGTATCGTGATATTTTGTATCGATGCAGGGACGGCAGAAATCGATATTTTGTTACAAAAAGGTTTTTGTGCTCTGACTTCAGAGCATGTTGATCCTTTTTCTGAGCAAGAATCCTGACATTCCTTCACTGTCCAAATGTGTTTAACTTGTTTTGGCAGCAATAAGCATGACAGTTTACTTATTTTAATTTAAGACATGTTTTATTTTAATTACGTTTAAAACTTTTTTATTTAATGTCAAATTATATTTTGTTTTAATTTACTTTCAAATTCTTCAGTTGCTGAAGGGGCTGCATAGTTTTCATAAATAGCTATAATTGTACCAGATGGTTGCATTCAGTTAAGTTGGACTAGACTGTAATACAAACCGTTCAGTTTGTCAACAATAAAACTGACTGAATGAGAGAAAGACTGAGTGCGAGACTTTGATATTAGATAAAATGAATATTGATAAAGTTTACCTTTATGTACAGAATCTGAATATCGCAAAATATTTTTAAAAATTGCAATAATATCGTATCGTGGGATGTATGGTGATTCCCACCTCTACCAGGTAGTCCAACTTCAGTAACCCTGCAAACGCCACTGCTGTTTAGTTTTCTGTCTTCATTTATGTTGGAAGTGGTAGCAGAGCTGTACGTTTGAATTAGTTTCAAAAATCTCTCAGTCAGAACATGGTATGAAATGTTTAGGTGGAAACTAGCGAGCTAACTTCCTGTTAACTTGTCTGTAAGGTTCTCAGTCATCCAGGTCATCGTAGTCAAAGGAGCTTGCAAAGAAAAGCGTCTGGACTTCTTTAAGTTGCTTGAAGACGTTTCACCTCTCATCCGAGAAGCTTCTTCAGTTCTAAGGTCAAATGGTGGAGAGTCCCAGATATAAACCTAGTGGGAGTTTCCCCCCACAGAGGGACAAAAGGACCCCCTGATGATCCTCTAATCGCCTGAGCCAAGGTGTGAAACTGGGTGTGGGTCCCAATCAGCCAGAGTTTCGGGTGAGTTCATTGTGAAACCTGGCCCCACCTTATCATGTGATTTCCTGAGGTCAGATGGCCCAGGATGTGAGTGGGCGTTAAGGCGTCTGGGAAGGGATCTCAAAACTGGATTATAGATGGCAGAGAGTTGGTGTCGTAAGCCCCGCCTCTGTTCAAAGATGGTCGCTCACAGTGGACATAGATGCTTCTTTCACTCCTCTTTCAAACCATCTGTCCTCTCTGTCCAAAATGTGAACATTGGCATCCTCGAAAGAGTGACCTTTGACCTTTAGATGCAGATGGACTGCTGAGTCTTGTCCTGTGGAGGTGGCTCTTCTGTGTTGTGCCATGCGCTTGTGAAGTGGCTGTTTGGTCTCTCCAATGTAGAGGTCTGGGCATTCCTCGCTGCACTGTACAGCATACACCACATTGTTAAGTCTGTGTTACTCGCAGCAACAACTCCACCTCATTGTGAGTCCATTTAAAAACTCGGTGCTTTTCCTCCACATTTTGCTGCAACGTTTCAAAGAGCCGGAAAGCAAATAAACAGCAGACAGAAATGAGGCAGGTCGAATCTTCTTGCGTTTCACGCATGCGCTGGACTGGAACGTGAGCGTTTTCGGCCGTTTCAATGTGGACGCACAACTCTGTGAAAATGACTGAAAACGCTAGTGTGGACGCGGAGCGTTTTCAAATCTATCCGGGCCAGTGTGGACGTAGCCTCCAGTCACTGAGCAGCTCCCACCCCTGATGAGCCTGTGTGAGCACTGAGCGGCTCGTTCAACAGACTTTTACAGGAAGGAGGTCACTCTTACCAGCAGCTGTCAGACGGCTG